TCGTCTACATCTACCCAATACATGGTGGCCTGGAAATTTGGAGGACTGGGGCCTTAACTACCTAAAGCCTGATCAGGGTTCTTTTGGCAGTGACTGGTTCAGGCCCATGACATTCACCATATTAGACTCTCCAGGGTTAAATGACTGGTTGGGCGAAATCTAGTAGTTTTCTTTGAGTGTCAGAAGACAAGAAACTTTCTGCAAAAGGTGGGATATGTTATGAGGGCAAGGGTTGCTGCAGCCATTTTGCCAGTGTGCGGGAGGTCAACATGAGGATGGAGCTGATCCATGGAGAAGGAAGGACCCAAAGAGTCAGGGGCCCTCACCAGCAGGCTTCCAGGTGAAGCCTGGTGTGATTTGGACTTTTTATTTCTCAAAGTAACAAATTCCCTTCAGTGTTTAAGTCGGCTGGTTGGGTAGGGGGTCTCTTGTTTCTTCTGACCAAGGATGGAAGTGATATTTGAGACCTGAAAGATGACAAATAACTAGGCACAGAAAGAAGACCTGGAAGAAAAACCTGTCAGCCAGGGGAAAAGGCAAGTGCAAATGCCCTGAGGTAGACCCAAACATGGAACATTTGAAAAGCAGAAAGACCAATGATCCTGGGGAAGGTGATATGGGAAGATGGTACAGAATGACATAGAGGGTGGCCAGGGTCTTGGTGGCTAAGGAAAGGAGCTTATGAGTTTCTTTAAATGCATCAGGAAACTTTCCTTACTTCATTTTTTTAATTTAAAATGGATTTATTTAGATACAGGAGTAAAGTGCACAAAGCAAGTTCAAGGGCACAACTTCAACACCCAGGCAGACATACATAACTAATCACTGTTGGATTCCTTTGAGGCCTGTTCCCTCAAAGACGACCCCCACAGAGGCACCCCAGCCTGACAGGGGTGTTTGTATTTGCACTGGCCTTTTCCTCCCAGCCTGGATACTCTTGGTTTCATTGCCACTTATCACCCCTTTGTAGAACTGCCTGTCCAGTGCGGCAGCCCCTGGCCACATGTGGCTATAGAGCACCTGAAATGTGGGAGGTTTTTCTTCCATATCATCTTTATGTGGTTAGCTTTTGTCATCATTCAGGTCATCAAACATCACCTCCTTCTTCCTGGACCACCTATTATGAGTGAGGATGCTTTTGGTTAAAAGAAACTAGACAGCCCAAGCAGCTGGCACCCACATCAAGAATGTTCTCAGTCACAAGCCATAGGCGTAAGTTAAAAATGTTCTGCTGGCCACCTTAAAACAAGTAAAAGAGAAACAGGTGAAATTAATTTTAATAATATTTGATTTAATGCAACAGATACAAAATATTATTTCAATACAAACGGAGCTGTCATCTGCACATTCTTAGGCAGAACAGACATCTGAATGACAGGTTCCATATTTGCCTAACAAGCCTCCAATTTCAACCTTGAGTCACCTCAGACTTTTCAGATGGAAGTCATACTACATCTGTGGGTTCCAAACCTGGCTGGTCACCCCAATTACTTCAGAACAGTCATGTACTACACAATGATGTTTTGGTCAATGATGGAACACACATATGACCGTGGACCCTTAAGATTATATTGCCTAGTGATGTGGCCATCTTAGTTTGTGTGACTACACTCTATGATCTTCGTACAACAAAATTACCTAATGATGCATTTCTCAGAATGTATACTCATTATTATTTTTTAAAAATATATTTTTAGATGTTGATGGACCTTTATTTTATTCATTTACTTATATGCAGTGCTGAGGATCCAACCCAGTGCCTCACACATGCTAGGCAAGTGCTCTACCACTGAGCCACAACCCCAGCCCAGAATGTATACTCATTATTAAGTGATGTGGATTGTGTTTGAAAGAAAACAAAATACATCACACGTAAGACATCCCTAATGCCAACCCAGAGATGCATGGTCATGTGTATATTTTTAAAGTCTGATGGGTGACTGTACTGGGCGTTCAGCCTTGGGAACCACTGAGCACCATCTGCTTTCCTGAAAAAGCTCAAGAGACCTCACTTGGCAGCAGGGTAGAGGCACAGAAAGTTCCTGACAAATCTTCTAGGAGAAAGCCCTCTATTAACCATGCCATTGTAGTTATGGGAAGTGTGAGGTTTTGTTTCCTCAGGGCTAGGACTAAGGCAGTAGATAAAAGGGAGGCTTCAAAAGTCCCCTTGGGTATAGTCTATTTTAGGCAGCAGAGCCCACCCAACCTGTGGATAGGAAATAGCATCTCTGCTTGTTGAGATGAGAGGAGACCCTGGCTCTCAAGTTGGCCTGAAGGTGTGGGTAAGAAGGAAATGCACAGCGGGTAATCCATCTCTTCCTCATCCTGTTTTCCTTTCTGGTCCTGGCTTTCCTGGCAGTGAGTTGACGGAATCTCTTCTTCCCACGCTAGGTGAATAACCGCAAAGCTAACCTGTGTTTCAAGGAGATAATTCCAAAGAGCAGTGGGGGTGGGTATTAACCCAGTCCTTCTGGATTTCATTTTAATGGATGGGTGTGCCCTTGGCACCAGGATCATAAACCAGGCCCTGTCTCTTCCTTTGATGTATTTAAAGAGTCCTATATTTGTACTCAGGACACCTGAGCTCCAATTCCAAACCTGCACCAACCAGCTGTGTCACTTTAGGTATATGAGCCTCACTTCCCCTAAGGGTAAAATATGCCTAATCATACCTATCTTGTAGGTTTACAGTGATTGCTGGATAAAATAACAACACAAGTGGAAGCAATTTAGAAACTAAAGCACCACCCAATTGCAAGACTTCAATGTTTACAATAGGGAAAGTGAGGCAGGGTATACCCCAGCAGACAGCCTTGTGAGCTCCTGAGATTCCCTGGGGGGGCCCAACCCCCTTTCCTTCTTCCTCTTCTCCACTACATGGCTGGGCCATGGGAATGTCAGGCGCTCGGATCCAAGTGACAGAGTCCAAAAAAAGCCACTATGTCAGTTCGGTTCTTGATACACACCTGCCCTCGGCTTCTGGGACGACAGCCCCCAAGAGAAGGCCCTTAGCTGAGTCTCCATAAATGTTTCTGGTGGCAGTTCCTCACAGCCGGGCAGGTTTCCATTGGACTTATTTTTCATTGGCTGACTGCTGTTGGGGTGACGACAGGCAGCACCATTCGAGGTGCCTATCTGAGAACCCCCCACGCCCCTTGCTGCCCCACCGCTGCGAGCTGGCTGTCCCTGCCCAGCTGCGCTTAGCCTTGGCCCCGTCTCCGCTCAAATCGCCTCCTTTGGGAAGACTTCCAGCTAAGCCATCGCCATTCCTTTCATGGACATCTTTCTGGTCCCTACTCCAAGGCGGAGCATCGCTCCCGGAGCCACGTACCGGAGCTTTGCCTTTGTCACTTTCTCAGGTCCCCTCCTAATCCCTTCTGTCCTTTCCCCTAACACAGGTCGAAGGATGCGGGGACTTCCCGGCTGTCCCCAAGAACGCTGGGGGGGTGGGGGGGTGGGGGTGGAGGTGCACTGGGCCCGAGCCAACAACCGAACACAGTGGAGAACCTGTCCCCAGCATTAGAAAAGTATTTCCACTCGGAGGGGACAGCACCCTAGCCCCCCCGCGAGCAGGCTTCCGTCACCCCGAGCCGGAGGGCCCCGGGGGGGCCCCGGCGCTTCCCCCCCCCCCCCCCCCCCCCCCCGCCTCTCCCTCCCACCGAGCTGTCCTTGTTCCCGGGCGGTTCTGAGCGGCGACCCCGGTCGGCTAGCCCGGGTAGCCCCAGCCTCCGCGCCAGCCGCTCGCCGGCTCCCGACGCCCCTTCCCCAGCCCGCGGGAGGGCGGGGCGGGGGCGCGGGGCGGGCGGGGCCGGCGCTGCCAATCACGGCGCGGCGCACGTGCGGCACGTCCCGGCCCGGGCGGCGGTGCGGAGGCACGCCGCGGCGGGAGGTGTGAACGCGCCGGGTCGCCCGGAGGTGGGGGGTGTGCGCGTGTGAGCGTGCGGCGGGGAGCGCAGGGATCCGGGAAGGTGTGCAGGCTCGGGGCCGGGGGATGCGTGAGGGGAGCGTGCAGAGGCCGCCACTAGGCTGCCCCCTTAGCCATCAGGGGAGAGCGGGGAAACGCTGGACGGAGGGCAGAAAGAGAAAGAGGGACGCCACCTGCTCGGGACCACCATTGACAGCCCGCTCGGTGCTGGGCGCTTCCGGCTGCTCATTAATGTTAGGGCGAGGCTAGGAAGGCCACCGGGCGACGTGGTCAGCGCGGGGGTGGGTGGGGGAGGTCCCAGTGCCTCTCACTGAAAACTGGGCCGAGGACGGGTGGAGACGGTCTGGTGATCCGCGTGTCAGCCCCCAGCCCAGCCGAGGGCCGGGAGAAGGGAATTCAACGCCGGGCGCAGAGCACCTGCTCAGGAGAGAGCAGGTCGCCCTCGCCATCGCCCTACCTCCCAGGAGGAGCCGTTTATTTTTGGTTGTGGTTTTCAAACAGAACCATCAAAGGTGTAGACTGAAGGGTGGGAGCCCAGGAATCAAAAGAGCTGTCCATGATGTCCTGAGGGTGTGCAGAAAGGAAAAGAGGGATGCCACCTGCTCTGGGCCATTCATGCTCGCCCACTCTGGCCAGGCTCTTCCCGCTGCTCATTAGTGTAAGGGTGAGAATGGAAAGGCAGTGGGGCTGACATTTTCAGCACAGAGTGCTGTTTTCACTTGGGCCCCAGAAAGTTCCATGTCCCAGCATGGAAGCCAGTTTGTTGTGGCTGTAGCTCCCTGTGGCTTCTGTGAGCTGTATTGTTTACTCTCCTTGAAAGGGATGCTGTAACAACTTCCGGGAGACTAGCCCTTTGAAGTGTGGGCAGGATTTTGGTTCTTCTGACTTCACGTTGTCTCCGTGGCTCCTTTGATGTGGCGGTGAGGGAGGCTTAGCAGACTAGGTATGGGGACCAATAGTCGAAACACTGCTCCAAGTTCACCTTCACCAGGAAGGAAGTATTGAAGGACAGATTGACATACAGCAGAATCTCAAAATTTTCCATTTCCTTGTTTTGTTTCTTTCATTAATACAGTACATATTTTTGAAGTGGATTACGCAATTCTCTGTGCCTATGAAATTACAATGGAAAACTTTGGGCTGAAGCGCTCTACCTAAATTATTTAATCCTCACAATAACTACCAGGTAGGTATTATCCCCACTTTATAGATGAGAAATCAGAGGCAAGCTCACATAGCTGTCAGACTCCAAGCCTTCCTCCTTGTGCCTCCTTCACTGAAATTTAATTGGATTAATTAAATGAATCAAACCAAACGAAACACATCAGTACTTGGCACAAGGTAAGTGCACAACAAACAGCTGTTCTTATCACTCTTATTACAAATAAGAAACTGAAAACTTCTGTTTCCTTAATAAATTCTACAAGAACCTTAGGCAGCAGACCTTGATGAATTCTTTTAGAAATGTGTTAGGGTTTGCTTTTCTCTGGTTATAGAACCATCTCCAAATGGTGTTGGGAATGGAGGTCCCCAACAAGATGCGCCAAGACACACTTTACAATGTCCTCTCATGTAGAGATTTGCTCCCACACTTTTTTGGTTCCTTCCTTTTCCCTGTTAGAATGTTATCAAAAGCAAGCTGTTCAGCTCTCAGCTGGGTGCTTTGAAGTCCAGGAGTCTAGAATGGAATGGAATGTGGGTTGTTGTTTTTACTTTTGTTTTCATGACATGGATAATGTAACCTGACTTTGTCTTAAATTTTCACAAAGTAAACAAATGTTATTTGCTAAATCTGTGTGTGTGTGTGTGTGTGTGTGTGTGTGTGTGTGAGAGAGAGAGAGAGAGAGAGAGAGAGAAAGAAAAGTGCTGCCTTTGGAGTGATGGTCTCCTGAAAACTGATTTGAGACTAATAAGAATGATTTGAACAAGAGACACTGTGGTCTGGCTAACCTGGGGCAGATGTGCCCTTGGAGACCCAGGAGGAAGGTGGGTGGGCTGAGCTGCCCCACTGGGTGTTGGCAGGACAAAGAGGGGAGGATGCAGGAGCCACTGAAGCAGAGGTCACTGAGATGCATGGCAGGGTACCCACAGAGGGCCTCTTTAGTCAATGGCTAAATGGAGATCAGGCACAGCCAGGCTCTGCTCTAAACATTATAGGATAAAAATAAATAAAAGTAAAAATTTAAAAAGTAAATGGAGGAGGAACACCTGATAATAATAACAAATGGCATGTATTGGTTATCTATTATGTGTGAGGCACTGTGTAGGGGGCTTAGTGTGCTTCATTTCATTTAACCCTACCCTATGATGTAGCCTTCGGTTATTATTCCCACATTGCAGTTAGGCAAACGGCTACCCAGAGGTTAAATTGCTCAATATAACCCAACTAGTAAGTAAGTGGTGCAGTTGCAACACCTATGAATAGTTATGTCACCCAGTCACTGGGGGGATGGAAGTGTTTGGCCCGTTTGTGCTGAAGTTCTTTATGAATTCTTACCATGGGGGCATGTTGGGATTTCCCAGTCCACATCCCCCCAAAGGAGCTTTAGACTTTTTGCTTGTTTATTTGTTTTTTGCCAGTGCTGGGGGTCAAACTCACAGTCTTGCATGTGCAAGGCAAGTACTCTACCCCTGAGCTGAACCCCCAGCTGCTGAACAAGCTTTGGAAAAGGCATGACTGGATCACAGATGAGGGTCACCTGTCTAGGCAGGGATCAACAACAACAACAACAAAGTGGGACAAATGATACAGTGGGACAACAGATGATTGGTATTATTGTGTGTGTGGGGGGGGGTTCAGCAAGTGGGTACATGTTCAGGGAGAAATAGAAGTGGGTATTGGTGGGACTGAGTCAGGAGCTCTGGGTAGCCAGCTTGTCAGTGTGTGTCCTAGGCAGTGGCCACTCTTAAGTTGCAGGTCCTGCAGGCTGACCAGTTTGTTTTAAAGTATTACATTATCACCTTACAGCTTTAATACAGTGTTACCAGTTGACTTGTGTCCCCTCAAATTCATATATTGAAGTTCTAACCCTGCAGTATCTCATAATGTGACCTTACTTGGAAGTAGGGTAATGGCAAATGTAACTTGTTACGGGGAAATATACTGGATGGGGGAGGATGGGCCCCTAATCCATCATGACTGATGTCCTAATAAAAAGAGGCTATTTGAATAGAGTCATGCCTACAGGGAGAATGTCGCGTGGACATGAAGACAGACACCAGCATGGTGTGTCTACAAGCTAAGGAGCACCAAAGGTTGCCAGTGCACCAGAAGCCAGGGGAGGGGCAGGGGATGGATTCTTCCTCCCAGTTTTCAGAAGGAGCCAATGCTGACAGCACCTTTATCCTGGACTTCTGGCAATTTCTGTCATTTAAGCCATCCATTTGCCATACTTTATTATGCCAACCCTAGAAAACTAATCCAGGTGGCCACGTATCTGATAAGGGCCCTGCATACTATAGAGCCGTAAGTTTCCGGAAACCTTGCTCTGTAGAGGCTTAGAGGACTCGCTTAATATAAAATTATCATCCCCCCTCTTTAACAGAATGATGCATGTACATAATTTAAAAAGTGAAATAGAATACATATATAAAAATTAAAATGAAAAATTACACTCATTCTCAGCCACTAACCCCTCAGGGTGTCCTTCCTAGAGGCAACCATCTCACTCTGTAGTCTTTTTTTTTTTTTTTCCCCTAGTATTTGCCACCATTTTTCTAAATAATATGCATATATTACTGTGTCTGGATTTTTCAATTGGAACATTACCTGTTGACTCCCCACAATGGTAGCTGAGGAATTATTCTCCTCCTCCCGCCCCCATGTCCTTGTATCCCAACATTTGATGAGCGGTTCCTGTTTGCTTCATTGCCACAAGACAAGTACCGTTCACCTCGGAGCCATGCGTGTCCGGGACAGACCCTGTTCTACAATGACACTTTTCCTCTTTGGATGCAATCACAGCTTCGTTTTTGGCTTTGCTTGATTTCCTCTGAAGCTACGTGCCCTCCAAGTGCTCCAGCATCTCTGCCACACCATTGTCCCCAGGATTTCCCAGTCCTGGGCCCTTCATGCTTTCCCTAGATGGTGTTCTCTGTCCTCTGCTCTGACAAGGACAGGCAACTTGGGCCCTGGTGTGGCTCCTCTCCTGGGAACCAGGAGGAGAAAGGGCCTTGTAAAGGGGGACTGTCATTTTTCTGGGTCTCAAGGGGGATGTTTCAGTTCACTTTTGAGCTAAAGTCCTTCTGTTTTTTGAAGGCCACCAGGACAGGCAGGTCTATTCCTGTTGTTCCGTGGAAGCTGGCAGGGTGGAGTGTTTCAGTCAGCTTTTTTACTGCTGTGACTAAAACACACAAGAGAACAATTTTACAGGAAGACAAGTTTATTTGGGGGCTCATGGTTTCTGAGGTCTCAGTCCATAGATGGTTGGCTCCATGGCAGAACAGTGTGATGGAGGAAAGCAGCTCAGGACATGGCACCAGGAAGCAGAGAAATGAGAATGCAGACTAGGGACAAAATATATACCCCAAAGGTACACCCTGAATGACCCACCTGGTACAGTCACACCTACCCGCCTACAGTTACCCCGTAGTTAATCCCTATCATGGCATCAATGCACTGATCAGGCCAAGGCTCCTATTACCCAGTCATTGCACCTCTGAACTTCCTTGCATTGTCTTACCCATGAGCTTTTGGGGGACACCCCATATATACACCATAACAAAGAGGGACTAGAATTGGTCCCGAAGGTCAAAGCTTTGGTTCCTGATTGAGTTTGTTAATCACCCATTCAGGGTAAGCCAGGTCTGAGGCCAGGAGATGTGTCTAGAGGTGTGAATGACCAAAGATCCAGCCAATCTGAATTTGCTCCTGTGGTATGGGTTAGTTTGCATGTGTGTGGGGGTGGGTTGGTGGGGGGTAATGACTGGGACCTACATTCATCTGGGGCCTCAGAATCAATGATGTGGCGTGTCCATGTGAAAATACTGTTGGAAACCAGGGCCCAGAGTGTTGTCCTCAGAATGCTTCAGGGAGCTGGGCAAGGTATTTCTACCCTTACTTATAGATGAGGAATGTGAATCTCAAGGAGACTTGTACTGTTAAGTGACGGGTAGGATTAGAGCCAGGCCCAGGGCTTTTCTACTTCCACTCAAAACAAAACTCAAGTTGCTGGAAGGTGACAGCGAAGTAACAGCCCCACCCTGGGCAGTTGTGTCCTCAGGTATGATGTCTTTCTTACCTTCAGTTATGAATATCACCTTTCAGGAGGGACAAGAATAAACTAGAGCCCTTCCTAGCATAAATAAGCTTTGTGAAAACAGACCAGGTCAGTCCTTTTGTCATGTCAGTGGGTCCTTTCTGGCTGTTGTCAGCGGGACTCAGAAGCAAAGTTCTCTAGACTTCCATAGGAAAGTCCCTGTTTGCCTCTGGGCACCAGAGGATGCTCACGGATGTTTTAGGAGACGCCTCGCATCTGCCTCAGGACCATCTCATCTGCTCCATAGGCAAGTGCCCATCTGCAGCAGCTTTTATAATTGAGGTGGTTGCAATGTCATGGTTTGTTCACCCTTCTCAGGAAGTGAACTTCCTTTTGCCACATTTTGATAAATAGGGGGCCATGTCCAGCCTGCCCTCCCATTCCAGTCAGCTTCTCTGGACACTGGCTAAGTGCTGACCAGCTGCTGTGTTCTTTCTTGCTAGCAGGCAGTCCCCAGGCTTGTTCACTCCCAGCTCTGGGGCTGAGGTGTCAATCAGTGGTGGTCCAGCCCTTTGGTAACTACTCCTCTCCAACAGGGCTGTTTCCTAAGATGCTGCTTCTCCTCAGGGGGAAGTGAACGGAAATTTCTTAATACTTGTCTCCGGCAATATTGGGCTGATTGCCTTAACTGCATACTCCTTGCTGAAATCTCCAGGTTTTCATTCTATTTTTTTTTTTTTGTTGTTGTTGTTATATTTTTGGGGGGAGGGGCGGTGCGGTACTGGGGATTGAACTCGGGGGCACTGAGCCACATCCCCAGCCCTATTTTGTATTTTATTTAGAGACAGGGACTCACTGAGTTGCTTAGGGCCTCGCTAAGTTGCTGAGGCTGGCTTTGAACTCATGATCCTCCTGCCTCCCCAGTCTCCAAAGCTGCTGGGATTACAGGCAGGCGGTGTGGTGGCCCAGCCTAACTATTTCTAGTCACAATTGGATGCTAATCTTTTAATTTACAGATCTGTTTTGCCTCATTTACGGCTACTCCCTGTATTTTCACTGGACAAACTCCAGGAAGTTCTTTTCCTGACTTCTTTTGATTTTTGGCGACTCCTCTTTGCAGTTCGTATCTCAAAACCACAGAAGTTTTCTGAGGTTGAGGGAAAACATCAGGTCAAAGGCTCGGGAAGCAGTTAAGCTTTCAGAGTCCTGGAAAAGGAGTCCAGAATGTAGACTTAGGAAACCTTGAGGAGCCATCATGACCCCATCCTCCCCAGGATGGAGCTGACTGCCAGGCTGCCCTGCCTCAGGAGCACGGGGCTTCTAGAGTGAGTGGGAGGCTGCTGCTCATGCCTTCCAGGCCCCAGAGACAGACACACAGTTGGGAACTGGGATTAGGGTTTGGAAAAAATGGTTGAGGTTGTTCCTGATTTGCATTTTATTGACCAGACTTAACATTTAGACCAAGTTGAAGAGAGGCTGGGAAATATAAGAAATTTAGCAGAGTGCACTCTTTTTTTTTAGTTGTAGTTGGACAAAAT